GCCAAGAGACGAAACACACAAGACATCCATCGCTCTCTCCATTACAGCTAGCGCTCACTTTTCACTTCTCGCCAGTGACCACGTTTTGCACTTCAGGGCAGTGGAACTAAAGAGACTCGCACGACTATGCAGCAAGTCCCACTCGCACTTATCACCGAGATAAGTACGCAGATTTTCAAATGAAAAGTGAGAACGCTCTTGGCAATGATGGCAGTAATAATAAGTTCACCAGACTCAAACAAGAGAAGCTAGAGAAGTTCTCGCTATTTTGTTCAGCTGCTACATAAGCGAAAGGATATCCATATCTGGATGAGTTCTACTATGATACATAAGAACGGCAATGAAAACTACCGCCCGTTCCTTTTGCTTCTAAGTTTACAAACTGTTCACAAGAACTATTGCTGATTAGCAAAGGTCCCAAAGAACGCCGAGCACCCTGGACTCCGAAGTAATTTCAGTGCAACAGATCACATTTCCAACTTAACTTAGCTACTGGGACCTGCAAGGACTTTCCCAAGATAAGATGCCGCACGGCTGCAATGTATGAAATACGAAAGTGGGTGTGAAAATAAAGGGATAGAGAATGAAGGTACTGTAGAGTTTCACTTAATGGACCATGCGTACTTCTTTAATACCACAGTGCTGAAGGTAATGACCTACGAATGCGAAATGTGGTCAGCGGCGAAAGCAAAAAGCAAATATCGGCTATGACGGAGATGGCGATAAGGCAATTACCTAAACTCGGCTCGGCTGGACCGATGTCACACCGACCTGAGGGAAATTTTTCCTGGCGATGGCAGGGAGAGGGTTTTTGTAAGACAATTTCCACTAACATAAGCCCAGTTTTTATTTGCGACTGTTTTTTATTTTCTCTTATTCATAGATTCCGATTCTTTGATTTCGCTTTTTTCCACAAGTTCGGGTTTGCCTTTATTTTTCCTTGTAGTGCCGTGCTGTCTATTTCTCTTTATTGCTGTAATCAGTCCCTGCCTCGAACTGGAGGCAGACAGTCTCTGCTTCTAAGATTTCTCCATACTGCTATAACCAGTTCTTGACTAGTACCCTTGCTCCCTTTCTCTATCTTTTCCCCAGTTCCTGTCTCCAGAGTGCACTCATTAACCACCACCCCCAAACCACGCCCCAACGTCGTTTAGCCACCGAGCACTGGGTAACACCACCAGCGCTCGCTAGTAAAATGCCGAGCAGTGCCGGCAAGCGGCGC